GAGGAGAGTTTAAAGTTGAAGCATTTTGACAATAAGATCAACTTAGCGGAGTAGGATAGTTTCTCGAATAATAGGAAAAATCCAACTAAAGCTAATGATGACAAAAATAAAAGGCCCAAGTTCAATGAAAATTATTTGTTGTAGCAATTCGAGATGTATAAGAAACTAGTGCAAAAAGCCCAAAATATAGGGCAAAACAAATGAACATACCACGGAGAAAAGTTCCTAAGTAGATTATTTAGCCGATGGAGTTTTCAAATAATATATATTGTCTGAATGCCAAATTATCAATACTAATAAAATAGTACTTTTATTCTTAATTGCATGAGTCATGTGATTGAGTAAATAAAATACAATGAAGAGATTAGTAAATTTATATTTAATAAACGAAATGGATTTCAATATTAAACAAAATTGTGATGTTTGTGTTGATGTAAATAAGCAAAATGACTATTTTCGAGTGTTGAAAGAAACAATATGCATTTAGAGTTAATTCACACTGACATGTATAGTTAAAAATTTATTTTAACTAGAGGAAGTAAAAGTGATTCATTGCTTTTATAGATGAATTGTACACAATATTGTTGTCTCTAATTATGAGAAGTAGAGACGAGATTCTTAAAGTTAATAAAAACTTTAAGAATGAAGTCGAGAATTAACTTGGCATTCGGATAAAAGGGATTCAAAGCAAAGTAACAAACACACAGTTTTGTTTAAATATTCTTGTGCCCCCTAATGGCATAACTTCCAAACAAGGATTCCGTATTCATTGTAGATGAATGTTGTAGAATATAAAAATCGAACACTAAAGGACATGAGAAATGCCCAATTGATAACTTCTATTTTACCTCAAAACATGTGGGGAAGGCCGTGTTAACAACAAATTACATTTTGAATAAAGTTCCCTTGAAAAGTAAGAATGTAATTCCTTACGAATTGTAGAAGGACCACAAATCTTCCTAAAAATACCTTAAGGTGTGAGAGTATTTGGCTAAGGTCGAAGTACCTTTACCAAAGAATATAAATAACTTGACAAACAACATAAACCAAACATGCTCACCCTACTTGAGATCACATTATTATTTTTTTTCAATTGCTAAGAAGCATTTGAAATTTTTCCATGACTACTTTCCAAACCGCCCTATAACTCCATCTTTCTCCTATTCGGATGTTAAATTATTTACAAGGCCAAAAGCTACACTGACAATAAAAAAATATCAATGGTTCTCATCGTCTATTGATCGTCCACATTCACTCCAAAAATATTACTCACTTCATTCGGGATAATTATGCCAATTCGTTTTTTGTTGTCTGCTAAACATATGCATAATCTATTTGTAGTAAAAAAAAACTTTGTCCAATCATAATTTATTATTTATACTTCAACAAATAATAACTAATTTTTCACTATATTATTTTTTAATTCTTTAATATATTTTTTTATAACAGTTGCACTTTATTTATTACATGTCTCATTTTTATATTAAAATACAATTATTTTTTAGTCTTTATGTCCAATCAACAGTATGTAAATATCCCAGATGAAAGGAGTACTTTTGTGATAGTGAACTTTTTATCCGATGAAAATATGAAAGATCCAAATTATCCTCTTCAAATCTCCAAGTTCTCCTCACCTTTCTCCACAAAGAAGATCGTATTGAATATGTCTTACCATCATTCCCTTCCTAATATCAATTGCTAAGGCAACCATAGTGTTAAGAACTTTTGTTACGATAAGTAAATAATATGGGCCCGAGGGATCGCCTTGTCTAGCCCCCTATGAATTGGAAAAAAAGAAGTTGATAGAGAGCCACTTATTATTAGAACTACCGCAAAAGTTTGCGATAAGCAACTCATTGTCCAATTTCTCTACCTATCTCCAAAGTTCATTGCCCCGAGCACATTATTAAGCACCTTTCATGAGACACTATCTTATGTTTCGCCAACGTCAACCTTTATCACAAAGCCCCTTAACCTCACTCTTCCTACTTCTTAAATTGTCTCTGAATCGATCAAGATACCGTCAAGAATTTGTCTCTCTTTAATGAATGCCAATTGTTGGTTGCCAATGATATCCTCTATAATTTTTTTAATGTAAAGGTTAAGAATCTTAATGAAGATTTTGTATGCACATTTGAGAAGCGTGATTGGTCGACAATCCTCAAGAGTTTCTATGCTTTCTTTTTTTGGAATCAAAGTGAAGAATCCCAAGCTGAATCCTAAAGGTATTGTAATAACCCGTAAAATAATCGCCGGAAGTTTGCCGGAGTTGGACAAATTTCATTTTGGGCATGATTTATTTTGGTCTTTTAGTGTAATTAATCAAAGAGTTGGGTTTAAATTAAAAGTAAAAATTGAGTTTGGGCCAAAGTAGAATAAGATAATTAATAAAGGACTAAGTATGTTATATTAAATAAAAGAATAAAAAAAAAAAGAGCAGCAGCAGCCAGCACGCCTGCCAGCGCCGCCACCAGCCCTGCTCCCCCTTGGAGTTCTTCTTCTCCAAAATTCTTCCTTTTGGTCTCTTCTCTTGAGGTAAGTGGGATTAATCTTAGGTAAATTGATATGTTATAATCCCTAAACCCCTTCTATTGATATCTTTTTCAATATTCTTGCCAAATGGGTTTGCCCTAAAGGTGTTAGGTTTTGCCAATTTCTTCTAGAAACTTGATTATAATGTTTATGTGAAGATTATTATTGGATTTTAAATTGAAAAGTGTAGAATTTATGCGATGGGTTTGAAACCCTCGTTTTGCCCTAACCTAGTTATGGTTTTTGAAAAAAGATCTACGATTATATTTAAATATTATGATTTTTGGGATTAGACCATGCCTATTGTGATTGAAATATTTTTCGAATGTTTATTTGGCGAAATAAAGTGTGTTTATGATGAACTTGTTGGGTCTAATATTCTACTTTGCATGGTTAAATGTTGACAATTGGAATATTTTGAGTTTAAGACACTCTTTTTGAAATTTGCCTAAGAGCATGTTGAGTATTTGGTCAAATTGGTAATTAAAACTACCCGTCGAGTCCGATCAACTCGTCGATTGTTTGGATGATAAGGCATAGCCTTCCACCTCTGTGCCTTGCAAACACGTGAGGGTATACCGGTATTTTAGGATAACTAGCTAACCTTGAACTAGATCCCGAATGGGCTAGGTCGAGGGATCGAGATGGCGGGTTCCCTTTTAGCGTGATTCCGAGGTGCCCGTCATTCACGATGGAAAGGTCTTTAGACCGTCATCCGTGATGGAGGGACAGATTGCGTACAATCCCCTATTGGTATGTTATATTGGAGACTAGAGGGTTGTGGGCCGTATGGCGCCCCTCGCCAACTAATAATAAATTGATTTACGTGTACTTTGGATTTCGAACCCTTATGTACACATTGTGGAGTTTCCTTTTAGGGTTATGACCCTATGTTTGTTATGTGAAATTATGTGACGTATCATACGAAGTAATAAGGTTGGAAAACCGGGTCGAGCCGGCCCTGATTAAGGCCTAGTGGAGTTTTCTTCGTGATGTGCTCATCGCTATTATTTGAGAATGAAAATGAGGTATAAGGGAGGCGCTAAAAGACTCGTGTGTGTGAGTTCTCCTTATGTGATACGTGTCATTTTATTCGACTATCTTCTTCAAATGATTTTGTGGCATTATATCGTATTAATTTATCTTCGATTAATTGCACTTACTCAACCGTTGTGTTGACCCCCTTCTTACGATTCTTTTTGTAGGTGATCATGCTTCCGTTATGCCTAAGTGATGCATTCACGTCATATGATCCATCGGGGGAAATGAGAACTACCTTACCGTCTAAAATGTTTTGAAATTCATTGATTGTGTTTAAAGACTAATGCAATTTGAACTATTTCAAATTTATGCTTTTAAATTGAACTTTATTTACTTAATTGATAAACTAGTGCGCTTTAATTCTAAGTTCCTATTAGTTGTTGGTATTTATTATTTAAGCCTTAGCGCCACAACGTAGGACTCGTTGGTTGATGAACGAGCCTTCCGGTGTAGCGTGGCGGTGACGCTTCGGTTTGAGCCGGCCGGGGTGTTACAGTTGATATCAGAGCCAAGTTAAAGGCTTATGCTTCTTGGCTAATAAAACTTGAAGATTTCAAAATTTCTAAAATCAATTAGACCATGGGCTTAGTCGGGTTTGGGTGCATTCATGGCATGCATTGCATTTTATGTTTATTCCATGTGTTTATGTGTATTGTTCATGTTATCAGACTAATTGGAGCTTATTAGATCTAGTGTCAATTAGCAAGATGCCCCCTAGGCGTGTTCGTCAGCCACCTGTGGCACCCGATTCTGATGAAGAGGTTGAGAGTAGGCAATCCCAAAACCCCGAGCCTCTAGTTCAGGATCCCGTTCGACCGTCAGACCCGACATTTGAGATCTTTCGTCAGTTAATGGGACAGTTCACTCAGCAGCCCCGGAGTGCTATGGATGCGGTGTTACGTCATAGTCCTCCGACTTTCACGGGTCAATCGGACCCGACTATTTTGGGAGAATGGTTGGATCGTTTGGGGACTATATTTAAGGTGGTGAAATGCCCGGAAGGAGAGAAGACGATGATAGCTGCATATTATTTAGAAGGACTAGCCAAGAAGTGGTGGAATAATGAGAAGGCTTCCGGGAGCAATTTGGTTGGATTACCGTGGGAGGCATTCAAGACGATGATAAGGGCGCGTTTTTATCCTCCGCACATTCAAAGAGCAAAAGAGGATGAGTTTAGTGCCTTGGTGCAGGGCAATATGACGGTGGAAGAATACTTCACGCGTTTTAATGAATTGGCTGCCTACGCTCCGGATTTGGCAGTGAATGATCGATGCAAACTGACAAGATTTGTTGGTGGGCTGAATAGAGACCTTCAGCGGTTCTTAGCCGGCTTCAGTGTGTCGACCCTTCAAGAGACGTACGAGAAAGCAGCTAACATCTATCGAGCAAATTGAATAGCGTATGATGAGCGGAGGGATGGGGCCCGCATGGCAGATAGAAGAAAAGGGAAGGTGACCGAGGGTTTGAAGAACTATAAGCGAAAGGATCAATCGGAGAGGTTTTCGGGTACACCCTATGCATTTCGCCCTAAATTCACTCAGGGGAATTCGAGTGACAATCATGGAGGTCCGACTGTTTGTAGCAGATGTGGAAAATCTCATCCTGGAGTTCGTTGTGACGGTCAGCTCATCACTTGCTATTACTGCCATGAGCCGGGACATGTTAAGAGGTTTTGCCCCAAGTTAGTTGGAGCTCCGAATGCATTTGAGAGGACCCCGGTTCCACAGCAGCAAGATCGTACACTGCCATTGGCACCTCAGCGTGCAAGAGGAGGGGGAAGGAGTGGCCAGAAAGGTCACATTAATGTCATGACGAGAGGGCAAGTTGTGGAGAACCAGGGAGACGTCATGACCGGTACGTTCTTGGTGAATTATTTACCTGTGGTTATTCTCTTTGATTCCGGTGCATCCCTTTCTTTCATATCGAGTAGATGTGCTAAGAGGTTAGAATTAGATTCTCGAGTAGAGGTTTCGGTGGAGATTAGGCTACCTTCATGAGAGCTAGTGCCTTGCAATTGTCTTTTCGTAGGAGTGTATGTAATGATTGGAGGCATAGAATTCCCTACTAATCTTTTGAAGCTTAAATTGGCAGAGTTCGATATCATTTTGGGTATGGATTGGTTGGCTACCTATCAGGCCCGAATAGATTGTGGTGGGAGGAAGATCTTTCTTCGGAGCCCTTGCGGTGGAGAAGTTGTGTATGAGGAGATTCCTTATCGCCCATCGATTAAGATAGTGTCTGTTGTCTCTCTGCATGAGTTAACTCGTAAAGGTCACCCGTTGTTCCTATGTGAAGTGCATGATGTCTTGGGAGATGGGAGTCAGCTTTTGAACATGCCGGTGGTAAAAGAGTTTGTGGATGTATTTCCTGATGAGATACCAGGTATGCCGCCTCACCGTGAGATAGATTTCACGATTGATATAATTCCAAGAGCAGAACCGGTGTCTAAGGCTCCCTACCGTATGTCACCTAAGGAGTTAGCCGAATTGAATGAGCAGCTTCAAGAGTTGTTGGAAAAAGGGTATATCCGGCCGAGTAATTCTCCTTGGGGAGCGCCCGTTCTATTTGTTAAGAAGAAGGATGGTAGTCTTCGGTTGTGCATTGATTATCGAGGATCAAATCAAGTTACCGTTAAGAATAAGTATCCTCTTCCAAGGATTGACGACCTCTTTGATCAACTGAAAGGAGCAAGCGTATTCTCGAAGATAGATTTGAGGTCAGGATATCATCAGCTTCGGATTTCAGATAGCGATATTTCGAAGACAGCGTTTCGAACTCGTTATGGGCACTATGAGTTTACGGTGATGTCATTTGGGTTGACGAATGCTCCAGCTACCTTCATGGACTTGATGAATAGAGTCTTCAGACCATATTTGGATAAGTTCGTTGTGGCCTTCATTGATGATATATTGGTGTATTCTTCGAGCGAGGAGGATCACGCGAATCACCTCAGGTTAGTGCTACAAGTATTAAGGGAGCATCACTTGTATGCTAAACTGTCTAAGTGTGAATTTTGGTTGAACGAAGTAGCATTTTTGGGGCATGTTATTTTGAGGGATGGTGTTTCGGTCGACCTATCAAAAGTGAGCGCTATTGAAAATTGGTCCCGACCAAAGACGCAGATAGAGATTAGAAGCTTTTTGGGGTTGGCTGGGTATTATCGGAGGTTTGTGCAAGACTTTGCACGATTGGCAAGTCCACTGACATCGTTGTTGAAGAAAAATGTCAAAGTAGTGTGGAGCGAATCTTGTGAACAAGCTTTTCAAGAGTTGAAACGGAGGTTAACAGTTGCACCGGTATTGGCATTGCCGATAGATGGCCGAGAGTTTGATGTGTATTGTGATGCGTCAAGACGAGGATTGGGGTGCATGTTGATGCAAGATGGAAGGGTGATAGCATAAGCTTCGAGGCAGCTTAAATCGCATGAAGAGAACTATCCAACTCACGACTTGGAAATGGCGGCTGTCGTATTTGTTATCAAGATATGGCGACATTATCTTTACGGAGTTCATTGCAAGATTTACACCGATCATAAGAGTTTGAAATACATATTCACTCAGAGAGAGTTGAATCTGAGACAACGGAGGTGGTTGGAATTAGTAAAGGACTATGACTTGGATATTGTATATCAGGAAGGCAAGGCGAATGTGGTTGCTGATGCTTTGAGTCGGAAGTCAAGTCATGACGTATGTTCGATGACATTACCCGTAGAGTTGTGTCATGAGTTCGAGAATCTACAAATTGAGGTAGTGGGTCCTAAGATGATTGAAGGATATATGGGTGTCTTGTCAGTTGAGCCTGAGATTTTGAGGGAGATTCGGGAGGCTCAGGTTGATGACGATGATTTACTCAACTTAGCGATAAAGGTGCAACAAGGTGAAATAAGCGAATTCCATATTGGTCACGATGGAAGTCTAAGATTTCGAGACAGATGGTGTGTGCCTAAGGATTGGTTAGATATTAAGGAAAGGATACTTAAAGAAGCTCATAGTTCTCCATATTCAGTGCATCCCGGTTGCGATAAGATGTATAAAGATGTGAAAGGACATTTTTGGTGGCGCGGTATGAAAAGAGACATTGCAGAGTATGTCGCCAAGTGTTTGAATTGCCAAAAGGTCAAGGCGGAGCATAAGAGACCTATGGGTTTGTTGAGACCTTTGGAAGTTCCGGAATGGAAGTGGGACTCGATTGCTATGGATTTTGTGACCGGATTACCAAAGTCGAGATCGAGCGCGGATGCCATTTGGGTAGTTGTTGATCAATTGACTAAGGCAGCAGTTTTTATCCCGATAAACATGACTTGGAGCATGCAGAAGTTGGCAAGGTTGTATATCCAGCACGTGGTGAAGAGGTATGGAGTTCCGGAGGTGATTGTCTCGGACTGCGACCCCCGTTTTCAGTCGCATTTTTGGCAAAAGCTTCAGAAAGAGTTCAGTACTCGGTTAAGGATGAGTACGGCCTTTCATCCGATGACCGATGGGCAGACTGAACGCACCATTCAGATTTTGGAAGATATGTTGCGAGCTTGTGCATTGGATTCTCAAGGCCGATGGGAGGATCAGTTGGCTCTAGTGGAGTTCTCCTACAATAATAGCCATCAAGCGACCATTGGGATGGCACCCTTTGAGGCTTTGTATGGGAGGAAGTGTAGAACATCGTTGTGTTGGAGTGACCTAAGCGAAAGGGTTGTATTGGGGCCCGAAATGATTGAGGAGATGATGAATCAGATTCGTAACATCAAGGCTAAGATGAAAGCTGCCCAAGATCACCAGAAGAGTTATGCCGACCTTGCTCGGAGGGATGGGCATTTTAAGGTGGGTGATCATGTATTACTTAAGGTCTCACCGACGAAGGGTGTGAGGAGATTTGGTATTAAGGGAAAGTTGAACCCGAGGTATGTAGGGCCGTACGAGATCATCGAAAGGATTGGAGCGGTGGCCTACAGGTTGGCTTTGCCGGAGACATTGAAAAGGGTTCACGATGTTTTTCATGTCTCTCAATTGAGGAGATACGTGGCTGACCCATCTCATATACTTCAGCCGGAAGTCTTGGATCTTCAGGAGGATTTGGTGTACTCAGAGCAACCTATTCAGATTGTGGTTTTCAAAGTTAGATCGACGCGGAACCATGAGATAAGGATGGTGAAGGTAGTGTGGTCGCGGCATGGGGATGAAGAAGCGACATGGGAAACCGAGCAAGAAATGCGAGAAAAGTATCCAGAGTTGTTTGAGGTAGCTCCGGGCGTGCAAATCGATTTCGAGGACAAAATGTCCTCAGAGGGGAAGGATGTTATAACCCGTAAAATAATCGCCGGAAGTTTGCCGGAGTTGGACAAATTTCATTTTGGGCATGATTTATTTTGGTCTTTTAGTGTAATTAATCAAAGAGTTGGGTTTAAATTAAAAGTAAAAATTGAGTTTGGGCCAAAGTAGAATAAAATAATTAATAAAGGACTAAGTATGTTATGTTAAATATAAGAATAATAATAAAAAAAAAAAAGAGCAGCAACAGCCAGCACGCCTGCCAGCGCCGCCACCAGCCCTGCTCCCCCTTGGAGTTCTTCTTCTCCAAAATTCTTTCTTTTGGTCTCTTCTCTTGAGGTAAGTGGGATTAATCTTAGGTAGATTGATATGTTATAATCCCTAGACCCCTTCTATTGATATCTTTTTCAATATTCTTGCCAAATGGGTTTGCCCTAAAGGTGTTAAGTTTTGCCAATTTCTTCTAGAAAATTGATTATAATGTTTATGTGAAGATTATTATTGGATTTTAAATTGAAAAGTGTAGAATTTATGGGATGGGTTTGAAACCCTAGTTTTGCCCTAACCTAGTTATGGTTTTTGGAAAAAGATCTACGATTATATTTAAATATTATGATTTTTGGGATTAGACCATGCCTATTGTGATTGAAATATTTTTCGAATGTTTATTTGGCGAAATAAAGTGTGTTTATGATGAACTTGTTGGGTCTAATATTCTACTTTGCATGGTTAAATGTTGACAATTGGAATATTTTGAGTTTAAGACACTCTTTTTGAAATTTACCTAAGAGCATGTTGAGTATTTGGTCAAATTGGTAATTGAAACTACCCGTCGAGTCCGATCAACTCGTCGATTGTTTGGATGATAAGGCATAGCCTTCCACCTCTGTGCCTTGCAAACACGTGAGGGTATACCGGTATTTTAGGATAACTAGCTAACCTTGAACTAGATTCCGAATAGGCTAGGTCGAGGGATCGAGATGGCGGGTTCCCTTTTAGGGTGATTCCGAGGTACCCGTCATTCACGATGGAAAGGTCTTTAGACCGTCATCCGTGATGGAGGGATAGATTGCGTACAATCCCCTCTTGGTATGTTATATTGGAGACTAGAGGGTTGTGGGTCGTATGGCGCCCCTCGCCAACTAATAATAAATTGATTTACGTGTACTTTGGATTTCGAACCCTTATGTACACATTGTGGAGTTTCCTTTGAGGGTTATGACACTATGTTTGTTATGTGAAATTATGTGACGTGTCATACGAAGTAATAAGGTTGGAAAACCGGGTCGAGCCGGCCCTGATTAAGGCCTAGTGGAGTTTTCTTCGTGATGTGCTCATCGCTATTATTTGAGAATGAAAATGAGGTATAAGGGAGACGCTAAAAGACTCGTGTGTGTGAGTTCTCCTTATGTGATACGTGTCATTTTATTCGACTATCTTCTTCAAATGATTTTGTGGCATTATATCGTATTAATTTATCTTCGATTAATTGCACTTACTCAACCGTTGTGTTGACCCCCTTTTTACGATTCTTTTTGTAGGTGATCATGTTTCTGGTATGCCTAAGTGATGCATTCACGTCATATGATCCATCGGGGGAAATGAGAACTACCTTACCGTCTAAAATGTTTTGAAATTCATTGATTGTGTTTAAAGACTAATGCAATTTGAACTATTTCAAATTTATGCTTATAATTGAACTTTATTTACTTAATTGATAAACTAGTGCGCTTTAATTCTAAGTTCCTATTAGTTGTTGGTATTATTATTTAAGCCTTAGCGCCACAACGTAGGACTCGTTGGTTGATGAACGAGCCTTCCAGTGTGGCGTGGCGGTGACGCTCCGGTTTGAGCCGGCCGGGGTGTTACAGGTATCACGTTTAATTCTTGGAGGTTGTTGACAATTAGCATTATGTCTTTTCCGGTTTTCCCATCTTATGCCAAAATCTTTTGATAAAATTTAGATTGAATACATTAGGGCCAGGAGCCTTGTGACCCAGGCATGCCTTAATTGCTTCCCAAATCTCCGTAGTACCTAGTCTTTCTTCTTCTTGTTGAAAAGGTACTAATATTATCAAGATCTGGCCATATGACCGGCTGGCCATCAAAATGACCGCTAAAGTAATTAACTAGTGAAAATTTGATCATGTCTTGGCCTTCCCAAATTACTCCATTCCAATGGATTAGAGAACTCTGATTCTTAATTTGGAGCCTCTATGTTAGCAAGTGAAAATATCTTTTATTACGGTGGCTTTCTCGGATCTATGTGTCTCTTGATTTTTGTCTCCATGTACTCCCCTCAGTATAATAAAGTCGCAGTAAGTGTTTATTTTCTACTCATAAGTTCTCTTCTTTGCTATCATTCATCGTGTAAAACTTGAGTTCACGTTCCCGTGTCTCAATTTTAGCCTATGTCATTTCCATAATTTCCTTCAAAATTCTTAATCCAACATTGGATAGCCAATTTCAGTTTTTTGCAATTAAAACATACATTGTATACAGTTTAAGTTCTGTTGCAAAATATTCTTTTTTTAAGAATCTAATCTTGACAAAAGAGGAACCGATCAAATCTGAACTTAGACTTACCTTTGTTATGAGTTCAAGTGAGCTTCTTGTTCTACATAAGTTACATCTTCCTGGATATTCATTCTTTTAATTCAACCACAGGAGACTGATCAGCCCTATATCACCTTAATAACAATACACGAAGAACATTGTGAACTTGCTTCAAGGCTACCTACGACTAAAGATGTAAATTAAGGGTGTGTTTGTTTGGGGGTTTGGATTTTGAGTTGGGATTTGAATAGTAAAAATTTTGAATTTGAATAGTTGTATGATATGATATAAATAAGTATTGATGTGATGTTTTGAATGTAAAATTGATTTTTAGTATAATATAAAAAATAAAAAATAGATGTTTGATTTGATATTTTTTGGGAGAAAAAATTGGATGAATCGTGTAAATCTAATCCAATTCCCAAACAAACACACCATAGAGTGTGGCTTGATTCGGCTTATTTGAGCTTGTTGAGAACTCATTTGCTAAGCTAAATATGCCAAAAAACAAACAAGTGTAACTCATCATATACACAAGCAAGTTCGAACTTGTTTCTAAATATTTGATAATAATTGTTAAAAAGTTAAATTAATAATTTTATATTTAATAAATATATATATGTTTGATTATGTTATATTTACTTCTAATTTTCATATATTAATTAATAAATAATACTCCTTATGTCTGGGATACTTTTTTTTTCTGTTAAATTTATGCATAGTTCATTTATAATACACTTTTATCCACTTATAACTTTAATATCCAGTTTTTTTTTAATTAAACTACTATTATTTCTTATTTTTTGTGTTCGAATAATATGGCATAAAGAACCCGGACACATATATAAAATAATATTATGCTTGTTTGTTTAGTTTAAAGTGATTTTTTAGTGTGACGTAAAATAAATTGTATAGATATATATAAAACAATATTATTGACTTTTTATAAGAGAATATAATACTCCATTGTCCAAAGTATTCTTTTACCATTTTTTTCTATCTCACTCCAAAGTATCGCTTAATAATTATATATTAATATCAAAATACATTTAATTTTTACTTACATTATAAACATACTATTACACATACAATTACTTTATACATAAAAGTGCACAAAAATATCAAAAAATTTTACGCACTTGTGCTAATTAATAAAATACTATTATTTTATCTACTATAAAACCCCGTTCAATGGGAACTGATGGAGTATATATTATTTATATTGTATGGATATATATATATAGTATTTTTATTAATATTCATTAGGAATTGTGTCAACACAAAATTAGTTGGTGAACAAGTAATAAAATAAAATAATAAAAATAACTTAATAGGCTAGGTTGAGCCTTAGACGAAAATAAATAAATAAAATTATTTGACGGACTTGAGTTCAAAGAAAACTCACTCATATTCAAGTGAACAAACTCGAATCCTCAACGAGTTAAGTTCAAACATAAAATTAAAAAGAAAAAAAAAAAAAAAAAAAAAAAAACACAACTCAGCCCTTCTATCTAGGATTGACCTATACATCACCTCACAAAAAATAAATACTTAAATCCAGAGGTTATAAGTAATACACCACTTGTCCACCAAATTTATGCATGCTCTTATTATTGTGCAAAATAATTATGCACTTTATATATATATATATATATAAACTTTTATACATTCCTTAATTCATAGTCTCAATATTATAATGTGTCAACCAATTTATCCAAAAGATTTCATAACCTCATTCACCCTCGTGTACTTCTCACAATATTGTTGTTTTATGTCATAATCAACTCATATAATTACACATTTATTAAAACTAGTTACAATTCAAATATGCATACATTTGGTAGACGGAAAAAGGACTAAACTAAGGTAGCAACAGCGTAATTTTCAAACCAAAACTATAATACCCCTACGAGATATGCTTCGATTATTGTACATAATAAGCAGTAATTTATGTCATATTTTACAATTACAAATTAACATGAATAACTAACCTCCAGGTAATCGATATCTCGGAGGCCATGCCAGCTCTAATTGTTCGTGGAAACATTGTCGTTTAGCTCTTTTCCTTTGGTTTCAACTGCAAAGAAAAAGACACAAGTTGCAGAAAATATTATTACAAACTCAAATATACCTACTGCAACCGCTTGGTGGCAGCTCGAAACCAATCCCACAGAGACAAACGGACTAATCATGCTCGAAATTCTAGCGACTGCAGTGGCAACACCCGCTCCCGTGCTCCTAATACTTGTCGGATATATCTGCAAGTAAAATAAAATTAAAAATAGTAAATTATATTATACTCCCTTGTGTTTTACTAAAAAATGCCCTGTGTTTTATTTATTAAGTAAAATTTCTTTGTTTTAAAGTAAAGTTTGCACAAAACACCCTCTTTGTGCAAAGATGATATTTGGTTCTAAATAAAAACCTACATTATGTATGCTTTATACAAATAAAAAACGTAAAATATCTTAAATAAATTTTTTAAATAAAATAAATAAATAAATAAATAATTGACCAATCATTTATTTTTATAGTTTTTGTAAAAATAGATAACAAAAAATTATACAACAAAAGATTAATCAATTATTTATTTATTTATTTTAATCAAAAAAATTTATTTATGTAAAACTTGCATTTTTTGTTCATATTTACAATCAAATATCAGTTTTGAACAATGACGGTATTTTGTGCAAACTTTACATTAATACAAGGGTTCCCCGCAATAAATAAAATATGATAAAGGTATTTTATGCATTTTTACTGAAACACAAGAGGGGGTGATATAATTTATTGAATTTTAAAAAAAAATGAGTCAAAATAACACCTGCTCTTTTGAGTCTCTACACTGTTTTTTACTATTACTAAAAGAATAGTAATTTTTTCCTGTTGCAGAATATAAAAACTCAAACTTCCAAACTCAATTCATGGTGGAAAGAAACACAAATATTTCATTTTGATCACATTGATGTGTATAGGACCATTTACAAGTTTAATAAATTTTCGTTAAGCATTTGTTTTTGAGGTGAAATTTTGTATGGAAAACATGTTTATATGGCAAAGCTGATATACATTAAAGATGCAGAAGATTATACAAAAACTATAAGCATTAATAATACTAACACAATCATGAAATATTATTGGTACAAATGTACAATACGTATTTGTATTAATATAGATGAAATTGCCATTTAGATAAATTACCCACACAATCATGCTAATAAGATTTATGGCTAGAAATATGATGTCACTAGACTTTATACTAGAAATATTGGCTTAGTAGACATTTTGCTATTTAGAGTAACTTTTTCGCCATCCAAAAACAAATATATAGGGTAAATTATATAACATTCTCTTGTATTTTATTAAAAATGCACACAATGCCCTATATTTTATTTATTGCGTGAAACCTTTTTCTGTTAATATAAAGTTTGCACTAAACACCATTTATTCAAAAAATTTAGTTAAGATATTATTTGTATAAAATTTGTGTAATTTAGATCTTTATTTAGAATCAAACATTACATTAACACAAGGGCTTTTACGCAATAAATAAAACACGGGGTGTTTTGTGCATTTTTACTAAAACACGAGGGAGTGTTATATAATTTACCCCAAATATATATATAAGTGAAGGTTGTTGTTAGTACGCTGAATCAATATATTTAATACGGTGCTGACAACACCTCAAAGCCGGACAACACATAACAAACAAAGAGACTTTACAAAGTTTATATACATCACAGACAACACATGCTAATGTTATTGTCCCATATGTGAAATTGCAGTGAGATTTATTATATGTATAAAGATGAACTAAACTAGGAAATTATCTCTCTGTTTTAATGGATAGTGCATAAGAAATGTAGATAGTATTATCACCCACCCACATACAAATTGATGTGAAGTTTTAATAAATTAGTATGAACATAACCAAACAAACTCAATTTCTGAATCATCTGTACTAATGTAAGGATAAAAATATTATGCATTGGAGATAAAAAAGCATTTTAACATCTAAGAGCTTCAAATGAGCTGAACAAAAGATAGAACAGTTTACCTCCGGGCAGTAAATGCCAGCCAAAGTATAGCCCCCGATGATAAACATACGAGCTCCGAACAACAGACAAACTTTCAAAACTTCATTTGGATAGAACATGAGCGGTAACACAAGTATGAAGCTGCACAGATACATGAGTAACATGGAGTTTCTACGGCCAATTTTGTCGACAAAAATTGCAGCTAAAACAACCCCAGGGAGCTCTGCAAGAACATCATAAATTAGCACAGGAAAACTGAAAATATAAGAAACAATCGGCAAAAGAAGTACATCTCCATATACCTGCAAGACTAACAACAAATACATTTTCATAAAGGCTAGAATTTGTCTCATCGTAAGAATGAGATCCACTTGTCGCGCATTGGCTTTCTCCGCTACTTAACTCGGAGGTCAACAACACAACTCCATAGTACAGAAATGCATTGGCAGAGTAGATTACCCAAATCAGAAGGGTCGCTCGTAATGTACTTGGTGAAAGAAGGGAGAACAAGGATTGCAAGCCCGGTAGCAGAACAGAAGTTTCCTTCTTTTTGCTGGATAGTAAAGGGGCGTCGTCTGCTGTTGAATTAGATTCCTCATCCAACTCAGTGATGCAATCAGAAATCAAATTCCCCGGAGGAAGTTCCCTTTTGTTTACTACAGCCACTCTCTTCAAAATGTTATGTACATCAGCGATCTTGCTGTTGGCATAGAGATATCGTGGAGACTCTACTGTGAGAAAGTATAATCCAAATGCTGCAAAACAGGGAACCGATGATATTGCAAGTAGCCACCTCCATCCCATTCGTGGCAAAACAAGCTGCAGCAGAAAACAAGAGGAAATTCTTCAGACCAGTAAATGGCAAATTCACTTTGTTGTGAAATGCAAAGGATCTAAGGTTTCGTAAAGACATAAAAAGTTACATACAAAAAGACCCCGAGTGAATTTTAGAACTTAGAAAAGCATGACGGGAATAGTTATCAAAAAGGAAATACATTTGAAATTGGGACATAAAGAAATAATTAACCAGATAGAATATCTAGAAGGAATGTCGAATTATTAAGGATGAATAGACGCGACGCACCCACACCAATAAGGCCTCAAGAACTGTCCCCAGTGTTGTTCCCGTAGTTTTGATGGACATCCAAATGCCACGGTTATGAACAGGTACAAACTCAAGAAACCATGATGAATACACATGTCCACCGCCTAGACCGATGCCGACTACCATGCGGGTTAGCACCAGAGAAACATAATTCGGGGAGAAGGAAGAAAGAAACGCAGCTATGGCAGTTAATGCAGCAACACCAAGAAGGCTAATCCTGGTAATAACAGATTTGGCAAGATGACAATGAAGTCAGAATGTCAATAAACAAGTCCAAATATCCAGACACATAAATCACAGCTACACAGTTAATTACATTAAAATCAAGTTTCCAGAAGCCAATCTGTTCATAGAAATTCAAAGCACTATGAAACAAATTAGACAAAATCCAATTTGACTCACCCTCCACAGAATAATTTATTGAAAAATCAACAGCAAATTGTCATAGAAATATCGCAATAGGCCACAAAATTAGGTATTGAGTAGAGAAGTATGCCTTCTTCCATAGCTATCCGACAAGACGCCCCAGAAATAAGCTCCGACGAGCATTCCGGCGAACACCGCGGTGCTTATCAAGCTTTCCTGCGCTGATGAAATCTCCCACTCATCTTTAACAGAAGGTCCTATGAACGACAATATCATCAATTCCATTGATTCGGAGATCAACCCTAGTGCCGCGTACAACAGCACGAAAACTTGGAATTTCCCAAACCCTACCACAGAAAGCGCTTCGTCCAGGGTATAAACATGCCCCACGCTACCACTCTCCATCCCTTTGATATTCCGAAACCATAAATTCAGAAACAGGACAACAATTATCGTTTAATACGACTGTAATTAGAAGAAAATGAGTAAATTTGTGTTGCCTCGACAAGATCAGTATAACTACCGTGCTCGTTGGGGCTGTGCTCAGCTCGATTAGCCATCAAATTTGTGTCAAGTGTACTTCTGGTGGGAAGACAGCAAAAAAGAAAAAATCTGCAGTTTGAGAGATCAATCGATCGCAGTGGGTGATTTGAGAGCCAATAGAGTGACTGCTGATGCACTGCGCGACAAATTGGCGGAAAGTGGTGGGACATCTTTTATTTATATATATATATTTGAATTTATTGTGATCCCACCATAATGTAAAGTAAAACTTTGTAACGGTTTTGAATTTTTTTTTTTTAATTTTTTATTAGTCGTTACATTTGATTGATCATTGCATTTTTTTGGTAGGAGTTTTGATTTTTTTTTTATTTATTTATTTTATTGGTTATAATATAATAGTCTGCTGTGTTACCATTTTTCATTTTTGTCAATCCAAAACAAGGTTATCATTTCTTAATTTAGTAATTGTACTTCATACTTCATATAATAAATACTCTTTCAACTTACAGTATATTACTTTTATATTCTACCGTACTAATAAGGATATTTTTGTTTTTTTTACTATAATCCAATATGCACTAAAAAAAAATAGTACATTTGTAACGGAATTTCGTTCCTAAAGTTCACGTAGCTAACGTAATTCTATCTCTAATTTCGTCTTTAATATCATTAGTAACGGAAAAAATGGATTTAGAACAAAAAAATCTTGTTACAAAATTAATATTTTTTGTAGTGATAATACTAATATTAAAAAATCTATGTGCAAAAAACAAACGTCACCCTTCTTGCGGAGCGGAGAGAGTATCGTGTAATTTAAATGCAAATAATTAATATTTAATAATTATTATTTATTGATTGTTTGATATATTATTTTTTTTAACATATTTAAATATTTGTATAATAAATTTGATTATTTATTATATTTCCTCTTATTTTATTCTATACAATTAAAATAAACATATATTTAATAATTTTTTATTATTATTTCATAAAATGATTTTATCAATATATTTAAACATCCATAAAATTATTTTTCTTATTTATACAATAATGTGAGCCAATAATTTTTTATATATGCAATTTTAATACAAACACATATTTAAATTTAATAATTATTTTTTATTTGATAAAATAATTTTATTAATCTATTTAAATATTCATAAAATTATTTTTCTTATTTATGAAAAATATAAAAAAATATTCCAATGTATAACTATATCTAAAAAATAAAAATAATTTATAATTTTAATTAATCTACAAAATTAGCTTTAAATGAAATATAAAGTTATTATTAAGTATTGTTAAAAATTTAACATATTAATTTTATATTATAATATAAATATTGATATCTAGCTCAATTATTTAAAATAATATTAAGATTTTATTATAAATTTTAAATAAGATTTGAACTCGGTGTAGAGTCCACTAAAATATAAAGAATGAATTTTAAATAATTTTATTTTTTTTTTAATTTTAAATTAGTTGTGCAATTGGGTTGGCCATTGAATATTGTAATTTTTTATTCTATTTAAAAAATATGTGACACATGAATAATAATTATTTTTATATTTTTCTTTTTTTTTAAATTATTGTTATATGTATATGTATATACTATATTAAATTATTTATTTTATAATATGCAAAAAAATTATTTTGATGTAATTGTATCTTTACTATTTGGGTAAATTGTTTTTTAGTCCCGTAACTAGACCTCCTTATCATTTTAGTCTCGTAAGTAGAACATGTCGCAAACTAGTCCCATAAGTGAAAAATTTTCGCTGTTTAAGTCCTCCGGCGCCGGAAATGCCCGCGTGGCTAGCCGGAGGTGACGTGTCCGCCAGGTGTCGCTGACTTGGCGGACATGTGGATTTTAATTTTTTTTTAAAACTTATTTTTAATTTATTTTAAAATTTATTTTTATTATTTTTATTTGTTACAATTAAAAAAAATTAAAAAAAATAAAAATAAAAAAATAAATCCACGTGTCCGTCAGGTGTCGCTGACGTGGCGGACATGTGGATTTTTATTTTTTTTTAATTTTTTTTAAAACTTATTTTTAATTTATTTTAAATTTTATTTTTATTATTTTTATTATTTTTATTTGTTACAATTAAAAAAAAATTAAAAAAATTAAAAAAAATGAAAAAAATAAATAAATCCACGTGTCCGCCAGGTGTCGCTGACCTGGCGGGACACCTGGAGGACACGTCACCTCCGGCGAGCCACGCGGGAGTCTCCGGCGCCGGAGGACTAAAACATCGAAAAAATTTTTACTTATGGGATTAGTTTACGACAGGCTCCACTTACAGGACTAAAATGATAAAGGGGTCCAGTTACGGGACTAAAAAAACAGTTTACCCTTACTATTTCTATTTTTTATATTGTAAAAAATATAATTATAATTAATAATTATTTTTCAAATATATACTATATTAATAAAAAAAATAGTATATTTGTAAATGTAGTAAATTCTTTTAATATATATTACTATAAGATATAAAACATAATCGATATTTCTTTTTAGCAATTGAATATAGTAAAAAAATAGGATAAATATAATAAATATTTTTATTTTGCATTGTAATATTTTTATCTAGACATATCTTAGTTATAATATATATTATTATATAAAATTATTTAATCCATTTAATTATTAATATTTAAGTTAATAGTAAACTTATTATTTAATTTTAAATTAATAATAGCTATATCTTATCTTATTTAATGTATCTTATTTTATACTCCATTTAAATGAAATTTGATTGGTTGTGGCCATTTATATATATATATATATTTTTTTTTTTATTGATTGTATATTTTAATTGGTTTAGTTATTTTGTATATATATATATATATTTAGTTGATTGTATAATTCGATTTATTATTAATCATTTCGTTTGTTAAGTTCATTTTTTTAATATGTTTTTAATACAGGAATAGATATTTATAGTGCGGAATATTAATATTATAAATTTATTATTAGTTAATATTCCATTTATTGTTTTTAATATATTCCAATAGACAGTAAAATTATACTACTCCATAAGATAATTAATTATAAGATTTGAATTAATTATTTAAAAGAAGAATAATTCAAAAAGTAAATTATATTGTTCATTGCGATGCAATTTTACCTCCTTTATTTTTTTTTCTATTTCCAATGTACTCCCGCTGTCCCAAATATGATGCGGTATTTTTTTTTTGGCATGGTCCAAACACTCTACAATATTTTCAAAATAAAAAATAATTAATTATACTTGATCCCCACACTTTATCCTCTTACATCATCCAAATAAAAAAATAAAATATATATTTCTCTTCATCACATCACTTAATTTATAAATTATCCTACTTAATACTACCCACAGATGGTAAATGTTTATTCCTTTCCCACTTGCTTTCCTTTCCAAAATAACACAATTGACTTTTTAAGTATTCATTTTTGTTGTTTTTTTTTTGTTATTTATTTATTTATTTATTTATTTTTTTTTTGCAGTAGCTATGTGATATTACTGTGAATGGGCCAGAAGGAGCAGGGAAGAAGAAGGAAATGATGTGATGTTTTGAATGTAAAATTGATTTTTAGTATAATATAAAAAATAAAAAATAGATGTTTAATTTAATATTTTTTGGGGGAAAAAAATTGGATGAATAGTGTAAATCCAATCTAATCCCGTAAACAAACACACTAGATGAAGAAACATACCAAATGAAATGAAAACAGTAACAAAGCTGATAAAAAGTGGACGCTTCGCAATGATAGGGTAGAATGTGATGATTTCTTATTTTAGAGTTTTGCTCTAATGTTTTCATCGACTGCACTTTAATCCATTGTTCTTTTTACCTTATTCGGTTGGAAGGGAAAAACTTGTTACGGCACCGAGGACGCGGTGTGGACGGCACATACGATTACAGAGCAAAGCCGATCAAGAGAGTTCACCGGCCAGATATAAGCAATGCTTCGACGAGAAGGCTTTTTCCGGCGCGGCGTTTGAGCCGCTTCCATTGAAAGTCGGGGTCACTAGGAGTAGATTATGTGTGTGGGTGATGAAGAGATATAAAAATTATTCCGAACAAACATATTTATTTTTTGATTATTAGTAAATTAATTTGGTGATAATTTATTTTAGTTGTTTTTTATATAAGTGTTTTTCCATCATTAACAATTTTTAAAAACGTTTTCTTACACTATTATTAAAATAATTTTTTATTTTTTTTATTGTTCCAAAAATATACGTGGTAGAGTTTATTATACATATATATACAAATAAATTAATATAAATTCTATTTATGACCAAAAATAGAAGAAGAAGAAATAACAATGACCAAAAATTCGAGTGCTTTTATGAATTTGTCAATTTTCTACGAAACAAACGCTAAGCCTTGGGAGTTTCTTTTTTGTTTGTGATATATGCTTATTTAGAGTTAATATTTATTATCAAGTATTATTAGGTAATTGTTTATATTTGTAAATTACATAAAAATAATGATTATTTTATTTTTGTGTACGTGTAATTTTTCAGTAAAAATATTTGAATCTTAGTTTTTAATTTTATTTAATTTTATTTATTTTTTATAAAATTTACTTTTGATTTCTATTAAATTTATTCGTTACCAATATTTGTTAAATTCAACTTTCTACATTGTTTATATAACGTATATTAAAATTAATAAATTTTGATTGTTATAACATATATTAAAATTAATAAAATTTGTTTGTTTATATAACATATATATTAAAATTTAATATCTATTACTGTTTTATGATTTTAACCATAAGAATACTTAATTATTGATGTATGGTACTGTAACATCCTGGCCCACAAGTCACACAAAGTCTGTGTCGAAATCGTAGATGGTCCCATAATACAAGTTCTTCTCGCACTCCTCAAATTATTCCAGGACAAGCACGTTTAACTATAGAATTCTTTCGGTATGACTCTTGAAAAGAAATGTGCACGTTGGTGATATGAGTAGTCTATTCAATCAATTTAACTTCTAAACAATTTCGGATGGTATAATACCGGGTCATCCACACAAAACAGTTGGTCAAACAACGGCCAACTCGAGGGTATCATATGTAATTAATTATTTATTATTGATATGCAATTGTTAATAGTTTTAAAATTATATTATAATTAAATGATGTAGGTAAACATCGTGTTT